TCCGCCCGCCTCGGCCTCCCAGACAGCTAGGATTACAGGCATGAGCCACCGCGCCTGGCCACTGAGTATCTATTATTCATGGCCATTGTAAGCACTGTGTTTGTATTATACCATTTTTCATACCACCCATGAGGTAGGCGAGAAACTAAGGCAGGGATGGGTTAAATAATTTGCACGAGATCTCAGAGTTGTAGGTGGCAGAGCCAGTATTTGAAACTTGGGCCATATGCCTTATGCTGTGCTTTTCCTAGCCTGCTGTCCCAGCCAGTTTAGAGTTTGTGGTCCATTGATGACCACTTCTTAATTCCATCCATTATTGTATTGGCATACAGTGGGATTAGGACAAAGTTCTGGTTCAACATTTTAATTTGAAAAATCAGTGCATTTTACATTGCCTGAGTAATGTAAAACATAAAGGTTGGGGGTAGTTAATGCATTTGAGCTTAGTTTAGTTTGTGACCAGGAAGTGTCTTTTTGAATGTTAAGAAATAATTCATTTTTTCAAAGGCAAATTTAGAGCAATCTCTATTGCAAATTTAATATTGAATTATAAAATTACTTCAGGCTGGGCGTGGTGGCTCACGCCTGTAATCCTAGCACTTTGGGAGGCCGAGGCAGGTGGATTGCTCAAGGTCAGGAGTTCGAAACCAGCCTGAGCGAGACCTCGTCTCTACCAAAAATAGAAATAAATTAATTGACCAACTAAAAATATATATACAAAAAATTAGCCGGGCATGGTGGCGCATGCCTGTAGTCCCAGCTATTCGGGAGGCTGAGGCAGTAGGATCGCCGAGTCCCGGAGATTGAGCTTGCTGTGAGCTAGGCTGATGCCACGGCACTCACTCTAGCCTGGGCAACAAAGTGAGACTCTGTCTCAAAAAATAAAATAAAATAAAATAACTTCAAAAAGAAGTTAATGCATTTAGAAAAAAAGACTATTTGTGCCCCTTTTTTTTCAAATGTTCACATTTTAGGAACTCTTAATAAATTTTCAATTGTCTGTAGTAAGTAGTAATACGCTGTTGGGGTTTTGGAATTAGTAATAATTACTACATATATTAAAGATACATTTGTTTTGGGCAGGGGTCCTCAAAATTTTTAAACGGGGCCAGTTCACTGTCCTTCAGACCGTGGGAGGGCCCGACTGTAGTTTAAAAAAAACTATGAACAAATTCCTATGCACACTGCACATACCTTATTTTGAAGTAAAAAAACAGACAGGCAAAAACACCCGCATATGGCCCATGGGCCGTAGTTTGAGGACACCTGGTTTTGGCTGTGTCTCAGTCATCTTGGCACAGTGAGGAGCAGCTGGGTTTGGTGGAGCTCCAATGTGTGTGTTAAGCCCTTAAGAAATCCATCAGGGTTCTGCCCTATCTTATATTTAAAAAGGGATTTCAGCTGATATCAGGAAGGCAAGGCAGGGACTGACAGGGAGGATTGGGGGATATAGTGCTTGAAAGCCACTAGTTAAAGCGGCAGAACGGCTAGCTCCTCTGCCTAAATAGCAGGGTGTCCTTGGGCAAGTCACTTAACTTTTCTGAGCCCCAGTTTTTTCATGTCTAAAATAGGGACAATAAAGCTTATCCTTCCATCTTCAGAATTGAATAGAGCAAACAAAATGAAGTATGTGAGACTACCTTCAAAACTGAAATGCATTATAAAATGTAATGAATGCTATGCCATTGCTTTTAGCTGGTAACAATGTTAAATTTGAATTTTTTGTTGGTTTCCATTGCAGAGTTTTCCAAATGCAGGGCATTAAAGAACTACTGTAAGAAATTCAGTCTTTTGATACTAGTTTCAGAGGAAAAAAATACAAAATGTTCAGGAAACTCATTCCTTTTAGAATTCAAGGAAGAGTTTCTACCACAGATTTCTATTATTAGATCAGTAGAAGGTACTGAGATGAGTTTTCAGCTATAGGTTTGTAGTAACTGTTGCCAGCTGACTTTGCCCTCTCATTGGAAGCAGACTACATAAAGGGCTGAAACCTGAGAATAATACACAATTATATCGAAGTTTTAACATCTTTGTAAGGTATGTAAAGTGTGCTCACCCTTTTTGGTGTTTTAAATTTCTAATGTTAAATACTTTCAGGAGGGTTCTGATAATGACGATGATGAGGGAGAGGAAGAAGAGGAAGAGAATACAGATTACCTTACGGATTCCAACAAGGAGAATGAAACTGATGAAGAGAATACCGTACGTAGGGCTGAAAAATTTACTTCTTGAAATTACGCAATATTTTTATAGTATTTGAATTTTAGCCACTGAAGTTTAATTTCTTTTGATTATTTGAAAAATATTTCTTTGGAAAGTCATTTTCAGTTTGTTTTCCTAACCATTTTCTTCATTAACAAGTTATTCTAACACTTTTAATATTATATGTTTTACTCACTTATTCATTGAGTTATGTCAAACAAGTTACCAATACAAAAAGGCTTTGCCATACAAAACATTTAAAATTTCTGGTCTGATTTTGTTGTTTTTGTTCTGTTCTAATAAGGAGGTAATGATTAAAGGTGGCGGACTTAAGCACATACCTTGTGTAGAAGATGAGGACTTCATTCAAGCTCTGGATAAAATGATGCTAGAAAATCTTCAGGTATTAAATGTCGCTCTATTCCAAAGAATCTTCTCAATACAAAACATTGTAGTTTGTTAAATTTTGGTTAATGTGAGGGTCTCTACTGTCTAAATGTCTGCTTCTGCAGCAGCTTTTCCTCATGCTTACAGCTTACAGCTGCCAGTACTTCTTGCATCCCACATGCTGATTTGCACATTTCTTTGAGGTAGAGTGGGGGGAAATGCAGCAAATATAAGACTTGGAATAGAGTAATTTCATTATGCCAGTCTTCACTTTTTCTCTCTTAAGTCATCTTTCTTTATTTCGAAGACTTTTTTCCTTGTAGCTTGTTTAGAAGCCAAACTGTGCAGAAAATAAACATTAGGGGAAATTTAATTTAGTAAATTCTTACGTTCGATGTATTATTCGAACAGCTTGTATGTTAAGTAGAGAAATATCGGTTATTTAATATTTCAAGATATGTTAATTTTTTAATGTATTCATAACATTAATAAACCATATTTTATAAAAAGCTCCATCTAGCAGTTTTAAAATGTCACAGTAATTTTGGGTAATTATTTTTTTCTGTCCTTAGATTAGACCCAAAACCTGAGAACCTAGTAAAATGATAAAGATCACATTTTTTAATCAGTTGGGGGAAAATGATCAATAAACAAAAATAAGCTGGACTTCTATTTTATTTTCACACCAGAATTAATTATAAATCTATCAAATAAGTTAAAAAATTGTGAAGACTATTGGGCCCTACATCAAGTGCTTTACCCCTGTTCTCCACACAGTGCTGTCAGTTACTGTATTCCCATTTCATAGGTGAAGAAACAGGCTTGAAGAGACAAACTTCCTTGAGCCCACATGGCTAGTAAGTGGTAGAATGTGTTCCCAACCGTTTTGCTATATATTGTCCTCCAGCACAGAATGCCATAAGAAACTTGAAGAAATGACAGACCAGGAAAAAAATATTTATTATAGTCTACACAACAAAGGGCTGTAGCAAACCAGTGAGAAAACATGAATGACCCAATTTTTTTTTGCCTGATAATAGACAAAGTCATTGCAAAGCTCACTAGTAATCAAAATATATGCAAATTAGCATGAGCTTTTCCCATTTATCAGACCATCAGATATTAAGATTTACACAGTGATAATATCCAGCATGGTTTTCTGTGGGTAAACATCTGTATTTGGTAAATGTGAATCAGTCCAGTTTTTTTAGAGGGAAATGTAGTAAACCTGTCAAATTGGTGTGCCATTTGATCTAAAAATTTAAAGAGAATTTGTAATTCTCTTTATAAAGACAATGATGTCTCATTGTTTATAATAGGAAAAAAATCCTATTTGTCTATCGATAAGGGACCAATTAAATAATAGGAGCATATCAGTATAATCAGCTCTGTGTATACTCAGAAAGATGCCCAAAATACAGGATTAAACAGAAAAAAATAATATAGAACAATATGCTTGGTGGTTGATTATATTTATATGTGTATTTTAATATGTGCAAGAAAAGATCTAGAAGAACGTCCTCCATTGTTAACAGTTGTTGCATCTTGGAGTGGGAAAGAGAGTTAGGAGGAATTATATGGTTACATGAATACGTTTTATATTTAAATATTTTATGAAGAGAATGTTAATTTTGTAATCAGCAAAAAACAATAAATCAAGATTCATGTAATGCTATCCTTTCAAATATTCAGTAAAAGTAAAAAGTCTTTATAAACCTGAGAGGACTTCAAGCAGATTCTAACAAATTGGAGCTTAAAAAACAAAAACAATAAAACACCACTTTGCTTGATAGGCAAATCTCTGGAATATATGAGGCCTACATTAAAAGACCATTTAAATGGTGGTAGAGCAATTTCAAAACCTTCAAGGCCTTTCAATGTTAACTTTCCTGGCTTTGAGGAACCATATTCGGTGCTCCCCTCTCTCCTGCTCCATTCATCAGACATAGACAGTTATTTCCAGTTCCCTAAATGGAGCATGCCATTTCATGTCCTTGCTTTTGCACCTGTTCTTCCCCTGCTAAATTTCCTCCATATCCCCCAAATGCTCTTTACCATCTGCTTGGAAGAAGTCATGTGACATCTTTAACATTCTCAAGTGGCCCATTTCTATTCAGCCTTTCATGATATCTCAGTGCCCACCTACTCCCAGCTGAGCACAGTCACTCCGTCCCTACACAGGTGATGTGCACCTCAGATGTATTATAATTTATTTATATATCTGTCTTAGCCAGTTTATGAGCTCTTTGAGAGTAGAGATTATGCCTTTTTAATATTACTATGTCTAAGCCTATAATACATGGTAAGTCCTCGAGGAAGTTTCATTTAATTAATTGGTTGAAAAGTTCAGTGTAAATGTTAAAAATAATTGATATTACCAACCAAGAAATTAATCTGAGTGGCTATAGATTCCATTCACTCATGAATATTTCCTGAGCACCTGCTGTGTGTGAAGCTGGGTCAAGGGAGTACAATGGCAAGCCCACTCCACTGTTGGGGAGTCAGAGGACAGGCCATCATGATACCTGATGGGTATAATGAAGGACAATGTGGTCTATGAAAATGAATAGGAGGGCACAGTGTGTATTTGGAACAGGAAGATTCAGTAGCACCTGCAGCATTGTGGGCTTGGGAGAGGTGAGAACAGTGAACAGGACCAAGTCACACAGCTCCTTCCAAGTCATATGTCAAGGTGTTAGCTGGGGAGGGGGAGAAATGCTCCCTGGTCTCACCTGTGTATTGGAAACAGTACTCTGGCTCTTGTGATTGTGGTGTTTTAAGAAATATAGCACTGAATGAATTGTTTGCAGTTTATATTTATGTATGTATCCTAGAGTGTTCATAGACTTTTACTTTTCTGTCTTTAAGCAAAGAAGTGGCGAATCTGTTAAAGTGCACCAACTTGATGTTGCTATTCCTTTGCATCTCAAAAGCCAGCTGAGGAAAGGGCCCCCGCTGGGTGGTGGGGAAGGTGAGGCAGAGTCTGCAGACACGATGCCATTTGTCATGTTAACAAGAAAAGGCAATAAACAGCAGGTAAGAAACTGTGCTGCATGTTTACAATTGATTGTTAGTTATCAAGTATAAGGAGTAACTTCGTGTGATAGAATTTAAATTATCTTTTGCCTACAAGAGGAAAAGAGTTGAAAGCTTTTAAAGTGTTGGGTGATAAAAATACTTTTATCCCTTACGTATCTTGAAGGCACATCTGACTTCTACAGAATGGATAAGTGGAAAAGATATTTAAATGTTAAGTTCATGTGTATTGGTAAGAATATATAAATACCTTGACTTTCAGTGGGATGGTTACGTAAGCAAGCTCAGGGTGGGAAAGGAAAGGAGGACAGTGACCAACACAGCTACAGAAAATGCCCAGTTCCAGGATTTCTCTTGAAAATCACTGTCATTTCACCTCTAGTCCTTCTCTATTCTCATTATGCTTTTTTCTGTCTTCTTTCCCTTGTGTTACATGTGGTCCCTAGAACTGTTACCCCAACGTCTGAGCTGTTACTTTAGGGATTATACATTCATTTGTCAGGTATTCATTGAGCATCTACTGTGTGCCAGGTCCTAGTCTAGGTCCTAAGGCTACACTGATGAACAAGATAAAGCCCCTGCTCTCGTGGAATTTAGATCCTGCTAAGAGAGACAAACATTTGTTTGCAGATAGTGAAATATGGTATGAAGAAAATAAAGACCAGCTCTCAGACTCAACTCTAGGATATGGCATCAATTCTGTAAAATTTTCTCCCATTTTAACATTTCTGAAATCAGGCTGCTTCTAAGAGTTGATGGAATCTCATAATTGACAGCATTTTTTGTTTGTTTTATTGATAAGTAAAATAATGGTGCATCTTAGAATTAATGGAATGTGGCCAGGTGTGGTGGCATATGTCTGTAATCTAAGCATCTTGGAAGGCCAAGATGGGAGGATCGCTTGAGCCCAGGAGTTCGAGGTTACAGTGAGCTATGATTGAGCCACTGCACTCCAGCCTAGGCAACAAAGTGAGACCCTGTCTCATAAAAAAAAAAAAAAATTACTTTTTTGGAGGGGGGATGTTAGATTTTATTAAATATAATAGCTACCACAGTTCCCTCATTCATCTGCATAGTCATTTTACAAATAATTATTGTTTACCTGGTACATACCAGGCACTTCTACAGACAGAACATAGCAGCAGTCAGCCAGAGTCCCTCCTCTCTGGGAGCTTCATCTGGTGCTGGGAGGCAGACAGTAAAGAGATACAGGCTGAGGGAAAGGCTATGAAGGGGAATGAAGTACGTGAGAGGAGAGGAGACAGAAAAAGGGAGTGCGACGAGGGGGAGACTGCTGACTTAGAGAGGATCCCTGCAAAAGGGGATGTCATCTGACATGAAAGGGATATTCTGTCCCCTCCTCACCAGGACAGCCACAAGGAGATGATGCCTAAATTAATTTTTATCTCTGCTTTTGTCAGGTAATTTCTTGCTTATATACAGGGATCAGAATGGTCCAGCATGCCATTATTTTGCGGTAATGCAAGTCAGCCTTGAGATGCCATCTGTCTACCAATTAGAATCTTGGAGCGTAGGGCTGTCAAAGACTATGTCATGACTCATGTTATTGAAAGTTAACCTTGAAATGTCCAGGGCATTGCCGTGTCTTCCTCAGACACTGTGCTGTCACTGGGCTACCTTGCCTCTAGCCTAGGTTCCAGCCAGCCCTTGCTGGGCTTTCAGGGAAGTCCCATCCTGCACTTACTCCTTAGGCCAGGGTTGGGCTCTGGTACTTCCTCAGCGCCCCCATCCTCCACTCTCTGTCTCTGGGGAAAATGAGAGCTTATCTTTTTTGTCAGGATCCTAAACTTGGTGTTGTATTAAGACCTTTGCCAAGATTGCTCTCAGAGCACCTGGAACTGCTGATTCATCACTGTTGCCAGGATTCACAAATCCCGTAGTCTTTGCTTTTCTTTTCTAGGGGGACTACTTGGTTCTCTGACTAGACTTTTCTATTTCCTTTATTCTCTTTTTGTTTAAAAGCTCTTTGTTCCCTCCCTACAATCCCATCACCAGCTTTTCTTGACACATAAAGTTTCAAAAAGTAATAAAGCTCTAAAATTTTAAGGCATACACACATGTACAAAGCTGTCACATCTGGTATTATAACTGCGAGGGGCAGTACATGGTGACTTCAGTTAGACATACCCTGGGTCTTGTTCCTGCACAGCCACTAAATAATGGCATTACATCAGCACACTTCTTGGGCCCTGATTTTTGTTAACTAAAAGGGGGCTCAGGAATATCTTTCTTTGAAGATTAAATTACACAACAATAAATAATCCATTTTCTTCCCTCTTCCTCCCTTTTATAAAGTACACATGAAAAATCTTTACTTGTGCAAATCCCTGTAGAACATGTGGGCATCAAAAATAAATTAAAGCCTGCCTTAAAAACTTTTGTGCTTTGAAAAATAAATTCATTTCAGCAATCTCAAATTCTAAATTTTGTGGATCAAAATAAAGCTTTGTGTTTATATTTTAGAAGGATATTTTTTGTTCAAAGTAGATTATAAACTATATCTGTATCTTATATAACTTTATGCAAAATGAGGGATTTGGAGTCCTAATATTTTAAAATGTGAAATTTACTTTAATTTTTAAGAATATATATTTACTGAGCTTTAAAAATATTAGTACACATGAAATGAGAGCTCAGCATACTTGGTTATTAAGTAAATTTTCAACTCTTCTAAACTTTATTTGGAATTTTGGAAAATCTTCAATTTTAGGAACATTATTTGAAGAAACATCACTGGTATTTTGTGGTCTGAAAAAGAAAGTATATTTTGTTCTGATTTTTATTTCTTTATTTGGATTTTGGGTGTTGGCTCTTTTGGTGCAACGGTTTTTCTACAAATGTGAAATGTGTTGCCTTATAGGAATCTTTAGTTAAGTGAAAGATCTCTTTGTGCACCAAATTTGTGCACAGAAATAACTTTCTGTTGTCATTAGGAAAAAAAATATTGGTGCCAATGAAGGGAATAGTTGAAGAGAAAGAAAAGGATAATGCTTTTGGTAATTTGTTTCTTTCTAGACTAAATATTTATAAGTTAGAATAATGAATTGAAATAAAATATTTTGATCATTAAAACAAAAGCTTTAGTGTAATAGAACTGTTATAAAATTTGAAAAAGCTTTTTGATTAAACAAATGCATAATATAGTCTAATACTTGCAGACAAATCTTTTTTGTGGGGAGAGCGAGAACAATGGCCATACCTGTGATCCTAGCACTCTGGGAGGCCGAGACAGGAGGATCACTTGAGGTCAGGAGTTTGAGACCATCTGAGCAAGAGTGAGACACCGTCTTTACTAAAAATAGAAAAAATTAGCTGAGTGTAGTGGCATATAGTCCCAGGGTCATGGGAGGCTGAGGCAGGAAGATCACTTGAGCCCAGGAGTTTGAGGTTGCTGTGAGCTGGTCTGACACCACGACACTCTAGCTAGGTGACAGAGCGAGACTCTGCCTCGAAAAAGAAACCCCAAACTTTTTTTTTGCAATGAATATAAGAAGTTATGATTTGCAATATGTTTTGACCAGAGTAATAACACTTATCTATCTTGGTAATTTGAGATTATATACCTATACATATATATTTAATGTAGTTTTGTAAAATACAGCCTAAATCACCTTTATTGCTTTATCATGTTCCAGGAAATTTAGTTTCAGTAACTTCAATCTTTTTATCATCTAATTTGCTATGAAGTAGTGTCTCTCAATAGTATCTTAGCTTTACAGTAAAGGCTTTTGGCAAAGGTGACTTCAGTAAATTTATCTTTTTATCTCTATTTGTTTTTATCTCTTTTCTGTTCCTTTTAAGCACATAATACTTGAGAACTTTTCTTTTTGTAAATCTTGTCTCAGAGGTCATAAAATATGTGTTTATCTTTTATATACTTGTTACCCTTTAGAAGACCTGAGTGAAGAAATTATTAGTCTTATAAATCAATAGAAAGCCTATAATATTCACCTTTTGATCCCATTCATTAAGAAATTTTCTTTATACTATTTTATATTATTTTATTTTTATTATTTATTTTTTTGAGACAGAATCTTACTCTGTTGCCTGGGCTAGAGTGCCATGGCGTCAGCCTAGCTCACAGCAACCTCAAACTCCTGGGCTCAAGCAGTCCTTCTGCCTCATCCTCCCGAGTAGCTGGGACTGCAGGCATGTGGCACCATGCCCAGCTAATTTTTTCTATATATATTTTTATTTGTTCAGCTAATTTTTTTCTATTTAGTAGAGATGGGATCTCACTCTTGCTCAGGCTGGTTTCGCACTTCTGAGCTCAAGCGATCCTCCTGCCTCAGCCTCCCAGAGTGCTAGGATTACAGGCATGACCCACCAGGCCCTGCTTTAAATTCTTTTATTAGTATGATTAGTACCATCTTCTTTAGCCTCATCATTACTAAATTATGGAGGAAATTTCAAATTTTATCATCAGGAAGCTAATAAGGGGGGAAATGGCCACCCTGTTTTATTTGTGGGTGTTTTAAATGTTTTAACAAAAGCATTTAGAATTGCAGCTTCCAATTGCATGTTGATCAAAGAAATTAACTACCTTTTTTTTTTTCCTTTTCCAGACAGAGTCTTGCTCTGTCATCCCAGGTGGAGTGCAGTGGTGTCATTGTGTAGTTCATTGCAACCGCAAACTCCTGGGCTGTTGCCATCCTCCTGCCTCAGCCTCCCATGTACCTGGGACTACAGGCATGTGCCACCATGCCTGGCTAATTTTTCTATTTTTAGTAGAAAGGAAGTCTCCCTCTTGCTCAGGCTGGTCTCTAACTCATAAGCTCAAATGATCCTTCCACCTCTGCCTCCCCGAGTGCTAGGGTTACAGATATGAGCTACTGCACCCCGCCTAAGTGATTTCTTCTTGGGCTGCTTTGCTTGAGTGTTTTGTGGAACAGTAGTATACCAGTCCTCTGTATTTGCATACACTCAATAGTATTTGAGCCAGCTCATTTAGAGGATTCTAATGCTGAAGTCTGTAATTTACGTGAAGAAACTCAGATTTTCACCTCTTTCTTTACCCATGCCATCTCAAATAAGGCATCTTATTAGGTACTTGGGACAGAAAATGATTTAAAATGTAACTGTCATTCTCAAAGCCTAACAGATATTTCATATTTCACTAATACTCAACATTGCCCAGGAATTCCCACCTTTGATAAAGATAATAATAGCTAAAATGTATTCAATTCTTAATGTAATCCAGACATTGTTTTATGTGCAATCATATCTTTTAAAAATGAATGTATTGCTTTATATATAATAGCTGCGTCTTTGTTGATTTCATACTGATAGATACTTGAGTATCTGTACCTTTTATATAGTGCTGCTGCCTACTTTTCATGATCCATTAAGGGAGGATTGGAAAATTTCGTTGCTTCAAGTTCTCATTCTGGATGTTATCCTCATTTTTTAAAAAGAAAGTTGTAATCTTTTTCTGTAGTATTTGAAATATCTCCCAGGTGTCATAATAATTTGGCCAAACTATTTACAATGCATATTTAATGGAGCTTTTCTCCACCAATAGTTCTTAGCACCTGGGTTTGGAAATACAGGTGCAATGGGATGCTTTCCACATGAGTACTGCTGAAAGTAAAGAATTTAACTATCATTTACTGTGATGTCTCCCAGTAACTTAAGTGTTTAGGAAGAGTAAGTTTATTATGAAGTTCTTGTTTCACACATGAGAGGTATGTAAGGAGTTTGACAGAAAATTCATTTTGAGCTGGACTTTATCATTTACTTTTTGTCTTCCTGAATTTCTAAAAATAGGAGATTTATTACAGGGAATTGTTTTTTATTTAATTTGGCCATTTTTTATTTAATTTTGTTTCAGTTGGTTTTGTTAGTGGAAAAAAACAGGTGGGGCAGGTCATGTGTGATATAAATACATTCCTGATACAGATTACAAAATAGGCATAAGGACAGGTTTACAGATGTAATTAAGGATTTCTGTTTTCTGACTACTGGCTATAAATCTCATTCTGCTAAGGTGATTTTTTCAAAATTGTCTTAAGACTTTATTTTGCTAAAAGTTTTACTTTTAGAATGTATAGGAAGCAATGAGGGAGGCTGTTAATTCCAAACTTTTGGAATTACTTAAATATATTACTAATATGTAATATTTTAGAGTAACCACTATTGCTAGGCACTTTACATATTTTATCTCATTTAATTTTCAGAACAACCCTAAAATATAGTATTGATATTCTCATTTTACAGATGGGAAAAAGAAAGAGAGTTCTTAAGGAATTTGCTAGGTCATACTAATAAATGATAGGGCTGAGATATGACCTTAATCTGCCTGACTCCGAAAATCTGTGTTCTCCGTTTCTTTGCAGTGCTGCCTGGCAAGTATATATTTCACGAAAGAACTGATTGTAATGTGGAAATGGAAGGAAACGTGGGGAAGGGGCAGAGAAAAAGATACCATAGAATTCATAATTGTGGAAGAAGGAAAAAATTGGCCATCATCAGACCATATATACTAGAATTTAGAAATAGACAGCCCACAGCTGGCAATTTTTAAAGAAGATGTGGCTCAAGAGGATTAGGAGGTACTTTTTTTTTTTTTTTTTTTTTGGAGACAGGGTCTCTCTCTGTTGCCCAGACTAGAGTGTAGTGGCATCAACATAGCTCATTACAATCTCAGACTCCTGGGCTCTTGCCATCCACCTGCCTCAGCCTCCTGAGTAGCTGGGACTACAGGCATGTGCCACCATACCTGGCTAAGTTTTTATAGAGATGAGGTCTTGCTATGTTGCCCAGGCTGGTCTTGAACTCCTGGCCTCAAGCAGTCCTCCCACCTCAGCCTCCCAAAGGGTTGGGATTATAGGTATGAACCCCTATGCCCGGCCTAGGCGGTATTTTTTTAAAAGGCTGTTTTCGGAGCCATAAAAACAAAGAAAGGTAATCCCAATGCTTGTGGAGAGAGATGGAAAAAATAACTATTCGTAGTCCCTTTTATCAAGAAGAAAGATGTCTATCAGAATGGGTAGATTAAAGACTGGATAAAATTAAATAATTTCAGAAGGAATTATCTACTTTAAATGTGTCCCAGTCTTCAGGCATAAAGAAATTATATCCTGGAGGACTGAGAGATCTTGCATATGTAATCCTAAAGCAATTATCATTAAATTTATAAAAAGTCTTTCAGAATGGAACAAAAGATTCATAGTGGGCAAATATTGCCCTTTTCAAAAGCAAGCAAAAAATACATTCTGAAAACTATGTAGTCCAATAAACTTGATGTCTACTTTTAGCATAATTCTAGTTTTAAAATAGATGGTTTTAGTTGTTTAGGAAAATGAAAATTAAAACCAGATGAAATATCAGCATACACTCAGTAGAATGCTAAAATTTCAAAAATTGACCATACCAGGTTTTGACAGGATATGAAGGAACTGAAACTCTCATAACACTGCTAGTGTTATGTAAAATGGTGCAGCCACTTTGGAAAACAGGCAGTTCTTAAAAAGTAAAACACACCAGATATTCCCAGCTATTCCATTCCTAACATTTTTCATTTCAGATCTACAAAAACCTATGTCCACATAAAGATTTATACATGATCGTACAACTGTGTTTGTAATAACCCCAAACTAGAAACAACCCAAATGTTATCTGTAGGTTAATGGATATGTGGTATACTAATGCAGCGTAATACAACTACAATAAAAAGGAACGAGCTACTGATGTATATGACAACATGAATGCATCTCAAAATTATTATGCCAAGCAAAAGAAGCTAGACCAAAAAAGTACATGTTGTATGATTCAATTTATATAAAAATTTAGAAAATGCAGACTAGCTGGCCTATAATCCTAGGTACAGAGGAAGCTAAGGCAGGAGGATTGCTTAAGCCCAGGAGTTCAAGTTCAAGGCCAACCTGGGCAACTTAGCAAGACCCCATCTCTTTAAAAAAAAAAGAGAGAGAGAGAAAATGCAGGCTAATGAGTAGTAATAGAAGACAGATCCTGGGTGGGTGCCTGGGGATAGAGGTAAGAAAGATGTTTACAAAGGTTGGAGGTGACATATGCTTGCCATTTCCATTATGGAGGGGTTTTCTCTGATGTGTACATATAGCAGAACTCATCAAATTAAACATTTTAAATATGTACAGCTTATTGTAGGTCAAGTATATACCTCACTAAAGTTTTTTTTAATCTTTGAGCTTTTTAAAAAGAAGTGATAGTTTACAGGGAGTCAGTAGTAGATCACTGGAATGTAAGTTCTCAAACTAAGTTCATTGCAGTGAAGGGTCAGTTTACTAGGCTGGTAGCAAGGTGGACTACCTTAATATATTTTTATTTTGATATATGAGATTTAATTATCTATTATCACAAATATGAAATATAGGTAGTTGGGTTTGTAGATAGTTTCTCACCCACACTTAATATTTTTCATTTTGGTGTATTGGGCCTAGTCTGTTTAGTATTCTGGGAATCACATTTTAAGGAAAACACTGACTAACTACAGCACATTGTGAGAGAGAATACCAAGAAAGGATGCCAGCATACAGAAGGCAAAGATGAAACAGAGAAAGGTCTGGGGTCTTGAGCACATGTACCCAAATCCTTCCTTTCCACAGCAGACATGCTTTTGTTCCAGAGTAATAGATGCAGGTTGTCAGACAGCAGAGAAAATTAGGTTATGAAATTTTATGCTTAGATGGTAACATCACTTACTTAACATTTTTCAGGGAGCCATGACCCATAAATTCATAGGTCCCATTTAGGTTTGTTTCCAGCAGTACTAAACGAAGACCATCTTGCTAAAAAGAGAAGCCTTCCCAGATAAGGTCTCACTCTCTCCCCATAACAGAACTAGATCTCTCTGGGTCAGTTGCTTAACGCTCCCTCTCCTTCCTGGCATCACGGCTGTCTTCAGAAATAGGACAGGCTAGTAGTGCCAAGGATGGGCTGTATTTGCTCTGTATAGTTCAGGAGGGGCATAGAAACGAAAGGATGCAGATGACAGTTTGCTGTATAAAAGCCTTTCTGACAGTTATCCCTACGTGACAAGGTCTACAAGCTGAAAAGTTATCCCTTGCTAAATATGTGCTTCCAAATGGGATGCCGCAGAGAGGAACGTCTGTTTTTTATGGAGGTTGAATTTGGTGGCCTTTCACTCGCTGTGCAGCCCCAGTGGGTTTTGTCTCTGTTAGAGTAATTTTAGTATCTGTTTTTGGGTGTGCTTAGATGGTGCTGATCATAGTAAAGTGAAGACATTATTTTATAAACTCCTTTAATTATACTTGCCTTATTATTTGGGGTCTCTTTTTTTCTTTCCCTCAATTTTCTCAAGCTATTTGTGATTCCTCTGTTATTTTTTCCCCTCAGTTTAAGATCCTCAATGTACCCATGTCTTCCCAACTTGCTGCAAATCACTGGAACCAACAACAGGCAGAACAAGAAGAGAGGATGAGAATGAAAAAGCTCACACTAGATATCAATGAACGGCAAGAACAAGAAGATTATCAAGGTATGAAATCACAAGAGAAGCGGAAAATTTCACTGCTGTTTGAATGTTTTCAATATAGAGTATCAAAGTTGTTTTTTCCTCACCGTTTGATGTCATATTTGTATGTATTTATCTGGAGAAGTTAATTGTTTTTTAAATTCTATTCTACATATTTCTCTCACTTATTTGTAAAATAACAATAATATAATTTTTATCCTATTTTGCTAACTCTATAAGTCAGATTACATACTGCTGCTAGCTGGGTTTGCAAGGGAGATGTTAGCCAATTTTTAACTGCCTCACATTGCCGTCCAGTTGTGAGCAAATTGATTTAACATGTGTCACTTAACAATAGAAGAATGTTCTGAGAAATGTGTAGTTAGGCAGATTTGTCATCGTGCAAACACCATAGAATGTGCTTACACAGGCCTAGGTGGTATAGCCTACTGTATACCTAGGCTATATGGTATATAAGTAGGCCATTGTGTGTGCAGGCCATCCTTGACCAAATGTTGATATGCAGTGTGTGACTGTATTTATTTTATTTTGTCTATTTGGGGGTTTGGTCTTTAGGACCCCCATGTTCCTTAAGATTTGGGGAAATACTTAAATTAGGATTTTAGTTTTATACAGTTAAGCCAGCATTTTTGTGTCAATTGGAACCTTACACATAGAGTCCTTAGACACCTCCTCAGCCACCCTTTTGGCATTGCTGTGGTATCCAGATTTTAATCTTTTAATTCCACTTCTAGAATCTTCTCTCCCAATTCCCAGTTAATACCCGACATTCTTAATAATAATAGCTAATACTAAGTGCTTACTGTAGACAGATGCTGTTTTATATATGTCTTCATAGCTTGTAATCCTCTCAACAATTTTATGAGATAAATGTTGTTGTTACCTACATTTTACATTGAGGGAAACTGACCCTAAAGTGCCATAGCTGGTAAGTGGCAGAGCTGGGATTGAGTTAACAATACTTTCTTTTTCACTACTAATTACAGAAATGCTGCAGTCTCTTGCGCAACGCCCAGCTCCAGCAAACACCAATCGTGAGCGGCGGCCTCGTTACCAACATCCAAAGGGAGCACCTAATGCAGATCTAATCTTTAAGACTGGTGGGAGGTAAAACAGCCTTGACTTATTTCCTCCTTAGCTATTTAGTGTTTTGATGTCCATATGAAAAAATTAGAGCATTCTGGATTATACTTATTGATAAAGGCCTAATTATTAGCAAAATAGAAAAGTCTTTTAGTTGTAGGTATCTGAGGAAAAGAATCTATTTGATATGATTGTTATAGTTGTTTTTTCAAAAGTCATTTGTTTCACCCAGATCTTGGCTTTCACTCTCTCTGAGTGGACTTCTTTGTATTTTCTCTTTTGCCTTAACAGAAAAGCCTAGTTATAGGTGAGTTTTAGAGAAATCGTAAGCATTGTGTTAGAATTTAGAATTTCTCAGGTCAGGGTTAATTAGTATCAATGTTTATAAAAACTAGACTTTGTAGCATACAGGTAGAGTTTGTTGTGAGCTTTTTTTTTTTTTTTAATTATAAAATTTCCTGATGGAATCTGTGGCAGTTCCACTTAAAATTAAACTTGAATTATTTTAATATGAGAAAATTAAAACTCTATAAAGAATTTCACATTGAAGATGTTCTCTAATAAGATCTCTTTCATCTTTTTTAAAGGGTAGATCATTTAAAGTTTTTGGGGGGTCCGGGTGCGGTGGCTCACACTTGTAATCCTAGCATGCTTAGAGGCCAAGGCCAGAGGATCACTTGAGCTCAGGAGTTTGAGACCAGCCTGAGCAAGAGCAAGACCTATCTCTACTAAAAATAGAAAAATTAGCCAAGTGTGATGACATCTGTCTATAGTCTCAGCTGCTTGGGAGACTGAGGCAAGAGGATCACTTGAGCCCAGGAATTTGAGGGTTGCTGTGAGCTATGGTGACCCCACTGCACTCTAGCCCGGGTGACAGAGCAAGACCCTGTCTCAAAAACAGAGAAAAACAAACTGTTTTTTGGGGACATGATTTAGAGACCCGTATCATTAACTCAGTTTTCTATTTTATGATTGAATTAAAAGTGACAGTGGCATCTGCCACCCTTATTTACCTCACTCAGGAGACTGGTGTTTACACTGAGGATCTGCAGAGCCCAAAATGTCACTTGGTTGTTGGGAGCAGGGGAAGAGTTATAGAAGGGAGTGGGCTGGGGGGCAGGGGGGATAGGATTGTGGAAAATGTGTGTAGACACTAGTCTTTTACTCACTGAATATGTTTGTGTGTTCCTGACAACATTTTTCTTTTAACTATTTGCTCAGATAACTTTAATCAAATTGTAATTTAGAAAATTGGTTTGTCATGACAGTTTAGAGATCTGTTTTTTTAACATCCTATGAGTAGAATTTTTTTTAAAAGTCCAAATTGAAAATGATATGCAGATCTAATTAGGCATAATAAGATATTAGGTTATTTTTAATTTTCCCAACTTTATTAAAGTCCTCAAATGAAACCTATTTTATTACTACAATTATTTTTATTAATCCCTAATCCCTTCTTAGTGCATCTATTGTGAGAGTATAGCCTATTTCCCTAAGTCTTAAATGTTTGGGTGTCAGAACTTGACAGAACCAGTAAGTGTGGCTCTGTATGGCACGGGGGCACCTGCAGTGAGGTCTGCTTCCCTCTCTGTATACTTGTTTAGGACCTGCCAGGTGCAGCCCTGCACGGTAGAAAATGAAAAGTAGAAGACTAGTCTTTACCCTCAAGGTTATAGGCCAGTGAGAAAACCCAGTGGAGGCACATGAAAGATAACTCTGCCCTAGCCATTTATTTATTTTTAAAAAGCCTTGGTTGAGAGTCTGTTAAGTATAGGCATTTCTTAGGCAGTTGGGAGCAAAGATGAGTATGGGGAAGCTTGTGTGAGAGCTTACATGGGCTCTAGTGGAAGTGGCCGCGAACACAGGTGTGCCTTTCTTGTTTGCCTGCCAGTGTTACTCAGCGGTTTTTCAAAGTTCCTTGTTAACTGTCTGTTCTCCATTCCTCTCTTCAATCCCCGCTGGGAGGAATTGGCCACACTTACTTTCTTCCCGACTCCCACTGTGGCTTACCCCTACCGGTTCTCAGAAGCTGCCTTTGCCAGGGTCACCCCCTGCCTCCTGTGGCCTCATATGATCATTGTGTGGCCTCATCTCCATTGCATTTGGCATGGTGGCCCCCTGTTTCCTAATGGACTCTCTCCCTGGCTTGGTCCTCCCTTCTCCTTTTCTTTGCCTTGCTCCCCCCTAGATACCATGCCCTCAGGTCAGCACTAGGCCTCTTCTCTCATCCTCCTCCACTCTTGCAGGAGGCAGCATCCACCTGTGACTTGGATCCCATCCAGATCTCCAGCCTAGAGCTTGAATTTTCCTCTCTGCCTGTCTGCCCAGCCATGTCTCTCAGAGACAAGGCCCTGGTGCCTCCACCCCTTTCTTCCCTGGTCTCCAGCCCAGGAGCGCATTGCCTTCCCTTCATCCATAGAAAAAGAGTTGCATTTTCGACTCCCCTCTCTCCATCAATTCCCAGATGACTTAACAAATCCTCTGCATTCTACTGCCAAACGTCTCTGACACTTGCCTGTTTAGTTGCCCTCACTGCTAAGACCCTGGGTCGGGCCACCATCAGTCTCACTTGGGTAACTGCTGCAGCCACCTCCTCAACTTCTCCTTCTCATTTCAATCCCTTCCACTTCATTCTGCTCTACCTAAGTATCCTCCCCTCCCCTTCTCTCCCCTCCCCTCCCCTCTCCTCTCCTCGAGTCTCACTGTGTCACCAAGGCTGAAGTGCAGTGGCCTTGTCATAACTCACTGTAGCCTTGAACTCCTGGGCTCAAGCAGTCACGCAGCTAATTTTTTTATTTTTGTAGAGATGGGGTCTCACTGTATTGCTCAGGCTGGTCTTGACCTCTTGGCTTCAGGGATCCTCCCACTTAGCCTCCCATAATGCTGGGATTACAAGTGTGAGCTACCACACCCAGCCCCAGGGTTCTTTCTAAAATGCAAATCTGATATCTAGCTATGTGAGCCCTTGTGCTCAGAACCCTTCAATGTCTCCTCATGGCTTGTGGGATTAAGTCTAAACTCCTCAACTTGGAGAACAAGGCCCTGTGTGATAATGGGCTTACTTGCCCTGCTGGCATCACCTCACGCTGTTCTTTCCCCTATTCCAGCTACCCTGGCCTTTGGTTCTTCTGAGTGTGTTCTTTTTGCCTCTTCTGTTTGGATCAGTGTCCTGTTTTTCTGCCAGATAACTCCTGCTTCTCTGTCAGGTCCCTCCTTGGTGTGTTCATGTCTGATGTGGGTCTATGAGGACATGCTACAGTGACTTGCTGCATTTCCACAGACTTTGTCCTACTTAATTACCTGTTAGCTTGTCTCTGTCTCCCATGAGATTGCAGACTGAGGGCTTGACTAAGTCTTACCTTGCTTTTCATTAGATCTCCTTCATAGCTCTTGATGCCTGGTTCCTAGCAGATGTTTAGTAAATATTTGGTGAATGGACAAAGAAACTTTTTACAATCTACATTTTAGTCATTTGGTAAACTTTCTCTCTCCAGTTCTGCTCCCAGGCTTTTCCCTCGTTTTCCCTTTTTTTGGTTTGTTTGTTTGTTTGTTTTTGGTGAGAGTCTAAACCAGGGGTCCTCAAACTTTTTAAACAGGGGGCCAGTTCACTGTCCCTCAGACCGTTGGAGGACCAGACTATAGTTTAAAAAAAATTATGAACAAATCCCTGTGTACACTGCACATATCTTATTTTGAAGCAAAAAAACAAATGGGCAAAAACACCAACGTGTGGCCCATGGGCCATAGTTTGAGGACGCCTGGTCTAAACTCTTGAGTTAGCCTCTCAACCTGTTCTGAATCTGTTAAAACTGTAACTTGAAAAAAAAATCTTAGCTTGCCCATAATTCTTAAGACTGGTGCTCTGGAAAGTCTCAAGAATGCTGTTGTGTTCATAGCCAGTGGTCCTAAAATGTAGGTATGGGCAAACATTGTAGAAGAACACAAGCAAATGTGTAAACATGAGTTTTGGGGCTTTTCAGATACCAAATGTTCTTTGTCATTTTTTAAGCTTAAGTTTTAAGTGAAGAAATGTAGTCATTTGAAAGAACAGACTAATGGGGTGGAATCTCCTGGTGGTTGGCTCTTTATTTACTTCTATTTTTAAGCCTGGGCCAGACTTAGTAGAAATCTGTGCACTTGGAACAATGGCTTCATTGGAAACCTTAAGAACATGCTGGAGTGATGAATTCCTATAGGAAGGAGAAAAAAGTCAGTGAGTAAAGTCTGTGAAACTGGTTGATCAAACAAGTTGATTCTTAACTTGGCTAGTGCTTTTCTAAAAATTCCATTATTAATACTGGCAATGTGATATGGCAGATAAAGGGAAATTTATTTGGAAACTGTTAAAGTAATTTAAAATATTTCTTACCTGTGAATTTTGATAGGCTTCCCAGACATTAATTATAATGATTTGTATATTTTCTAATCAGAGGATACTTGATATAGGAAGAGAAATTAAAATTTCAGCCTTTGGACAAATTACTGGCCTTTGCTTAAAATGAGTTAAACGGCAGTGATTGCTCTAAGTGAAACTATTCTCCAGGTTTTCTGCTTGGCTAGTGTTGAAAAACTTAGAATCTTTGGCAAATGTTAGTACTAACATGGTTTAGATGCTACCAGTTGATAGGGGTTATTGCAGTGGTCCTCAAATGCATTAAAATACATATTAACCCTCTAGACTCATGAAAAAGCAGGTTCTGATTCACTTCTAACACACTCCCAGGTGACATCAGAGCTGCTGGTGTGTGATGGGCGTATGTGACCCACTTTTTAGCCTATCTTAAGGAGAGTCTGCATTTTTTTATTAAATGTTTTTTTTATGTCATTCTTGTAAGGTTAAGTAAGTGATAGTTTTATCATAAAATAGTCCCTCCTAGAATCACATTTGATCTAAACTGTATATTGTAAATATTTTTGAGCTCTTTAAATCACTCAAGATTGTTTGCCCATAAGTCAGTCATGTGATCTCCCACACTATAACTTCTTTACCAAAGATTTTGAACATTTTTTTCCTATCTTTCATTGCAT